TCCATCTACATTCAATCAACTGACAGTCTGAAATATCTTTCAGATACTTCCTTTTTCCAACTTATCTCTGGTTCTCAATTCCACTAAGCCTTTTTCTAAGCAGCTACTGCCTGGGTGCCAGTTGTATGATATTGATATAACTTGAACTGAGTGAATATAGCTTGCTAATTTGTCATACACAAGTGTTTGATAAATTTATTTATTGCTTCTAGTGCATCCTGGAAGTTATTTAGGAAGAATGCATTCACTATTTCAAAACACCACATCACAGGTTGATTTAGCTCCCATAAAAACTATTAAGATATCTGTCCTGGCTGGGTGACTCAGTTGGTTGGTGCATCATCCCATACACCAAAAGGTAGTAGGTTTGATTCCCAGTCAGCACACCTACCTACATTGTGGGCCCAATGCCTGGTTGGGGAACAAAGGAAGGCAACCAATTGATGTTTCTTTCTTTCTCTTTCTCTCTCTTCTCTCTCCCACCACTCTTCCTTTCTCTCTAAAATCAATAAATATATCCTCTGGTGAGTATTTTTTTTTTAATCTAAATTATTCAGACATAATTTTTTTTTTCATTTGCAGTCAGGATTTGTCCTGTGTTAATACAGTTATAATATTTTAAAAATATATTTTATTGATTTTTTTTTTTACAGAGAGGAAGGAAGAGGGATAGAGAGCTAGAAACATCAATGAGAGAGAAGCATCGAACCAGCTGCCTCTTGCATACCCCCTACTGGGGATGTGCCTGCAACCAACTTACCTGCCCTTGACCAGAATTGAACCTGGGACCTTTCAGTCCGCAGACCAACGCTCTATCTACTGAACCAAACCGGTTTTGGCACAGTTATATTTTTATTAGCATCCTTGGAAACTAAGGTTATGATGGGCCAAATGTAAAAATACAGTTTGTTGCAATGGGGCAATTTTTCCTGTTTTAACAAGACAACTGAGAAGTTTACAGGAGATATGAAACTCAATATTGTCATTATCAACAGTATTTCTAGAAAACACCATTAAACAGCCCAATTTACTATCACAGAATGACTTACAAAGAAAATCCCCCAAACTAGGAAAATGCTTTGGATTGATAACTCAGCTCCCGGTATTGACATAAGTCTACACATTAACTGGGGTTTGCTAGTACATTGTGATCCTTGATGCTATGTTTAATCAGTTAGCCGAAACCTTATGGGATGGGAGTGCAACAAAATTAATAATACCACAAATGGATACCAGTTGATGTACATCTACTGACTTTTGGTTTTCAATGATGCTTAATTGAGTAAAAATAAATTTAAGATAAAATTTTAAAATTCCAAGAGTATTTTGAGGAAAAAGTGTGAATACAGATAAGTTTTTAAAACTCAATAACAAAGTTGACTTTAAAACTTCACAAATATAAATATCTCCAAATTATCCATCAAAATAGGTGATATAGTTGTTTGAGGAAGTATGCATTTTTAGTTTTTGATGCTGCTCTGTTATGAATAACTTTTTCACAGTCGTTCTTTCAGAAGTGTTTATATTACTGTAATGCCATTTCTGAAATGAAATATGTAAGGGACATAAAGGGAAATTTTCATTTTTAAAATATTTAAATGACATTAGAATTACTGACGGAGGGTAGACAGGCAGATAGAAATGAAAGGCTAATCTCCCTTACTCAATTCCCACACATACACAAATCTCAGCAATTATGGAGTTAGTTTGTGGAGCAATATCCCAAGATAAATGGTAATTAGTTCCTAGGTCTATAGCAGAATCTAAAACTTAAGTACTGCACATGGGTGCCAGGCTGATTAAGCACAACAGGAAGGAGATTATAGTAACTCAAAACAACATAATCCATACATTAAAACAAATTTTCTCAATTACAAAGAGAAATCTCAATTTCATACTCAATTTTCCAGCCAAGAATTAGAAGAGTGAATGGGTTGACTAGCTACTTCAAAAAAGGAAGGTTACAATGATGTATGTCTAAATCATGTAAATAATATTAGGCTGCAATGAAGTGATTTCCTGAGTTACCTATAACACAATTTTTAGTTGAACCTAGCTAAGAAAATAATATTAATAAAGAATACAAACTTGTGTGCAGAATGAATGGTTTTACACCTGGAAATATAGGCAAATAAAGGGATATAGACTTCTATGCTAGCAAAGTTCCCATTTGGTCTTTGAAGTCTCCATTTATAATTGCCCCACCATATATATATGGTGAGAAGAGAATTGGAAATTATATATATATAATTCTCTTCATGTAAAATGTTCAAAACACACTTCATAATCTTACACTAACTCTTACGTCTATCTCTTTTACAACTTATCAATGTTTTATAACTAAATAAAAATAAAGTGTTCTTTTCCCCATAAATCCTTCTACAAATAAAAATAAAACTACTTTAGGCTAAGAAAGGTCATGATTTACAAAGTCAAAGCAATGAAATTTGAAGTATACACTTGTGGTTCTCAGATTTGAGCACGTACCAGAGTCATGGCCTGAGTAAAGAACACAGATTGCTGGGTTACACCCTCTGTATTTGTGATTTACAAAGCCCAGGACACTGAGATTTCACAGGTGAGGATGATGTTGAAGTTTAGTGGTTTCCACTTTGAGAACCTAATTTCTGTACTATGTAAGACATATTTGAAAAGTTACAATAAGTATATATTTTTTTGCCCACCTCAAAACTGTAACATTTATAACCAGGGATGCTGATTACATTTCACACAAAGCTGATTCTATTCTTAGCTAAGTTACTAATAACCACATCAAAATTAAAATAAAACAAACCCCCAAAAAACACCACTGCATCCATCACAAGAACCAGTTCAGCAGCAGAACTACCTTCTTCCTTATTGATAAGCAACATGAGCATAAAATTTCTCTAATGCAATTTTCTTATTGTCTATATTCCTATATCCTATCCTTTTCCACTACCCAACATGAGACTTTCCAGAACAAATAATCTGAATTACAAAAAGTAACAGGGAATTGGAGCTATGTCTTTCTTATCCAGACAGTTCCAGCCATATTACTCGCCCTCCATCCCACCCCCTGCTGGCCCCAATCTTTCTCACTATTCTCTACACACACACACACACACACACACACACACACACACACAAACATACACACAATTAAAAAATAAAAACTCCTTTTGTTGGGATGATCTGAACCAATGAAAGAGAAGTAAAGACTTGGACATGGTATAAAAGGAATTCAAACTCTCCCACACTAAGGAACAGCTTCCTGAGAAGGCTCCAACTCCAGCATTCCTCCATCCCTAGAATCCTGGACACTCAGCTGCTCCAGACACCAGAGTGTGGTTGAAGGCAAAAGAGCTTTCAATGAGCTGCTGCTCTGCTTGAGGCCACACCTACCATAAGCCAAGAGGTAAGATGTGCTGTAGTTCCAGCATCTCTCTCACACATACACACACCACCACCACCATCATAATTACCACCAAGCAAGCTCTCTTCCATTTGGGAAAGAGGGAGTGGGAAGAGAGGGGAGATTAAGAGGCTTAGAGTTGGGGAGGGCGGTTCAGGGCACCTCCCAGCACTGCTTAGCCCTGGGCAGTGCACAATGAAGAAGGTAAAGGTCTGATCTCCCTCGTACTTTCCCAAACACCCACCCATGGCAGTGATTTCTCAGTTTGAAGACCCAACATCCCCTTGTGCCCATACCCACTCCGCAGTCTAGTCAGGTCTAGGGTCTGCAGGGAAAGGTCTGACATTTCCACAAACACTTATGCCCTTCGTCGGGGGCAGCCAGGGACCGAGTACTGCAGTGCTAGAATCCAGACCTCAGAGTGAGGCAGTGGGCACTGGGCTGAATTCCCAGCACACACCTCTGGATATTGGCTGGAGGGGAACTGTCGGTGAGATTTGGCCTGCTGTCCCTGAGGGGCTGTTCTCCCAACCTCCTCCCCCCCACCCCCCCACCTGGAGATCACAAAAGTTATTTTTCCTTTGTGGCACTGCCTGCCTGTCCCAGGAGATGACCACTTCAGCCAGAGCGAGAGGCTGTGTGTGAGTGTATCTTTCTGTCCTGAAAGCCAAGGGTGCCAACTGCTGACAGGCAAAGGAACCTGGATTTGCTCTTGAGGACTTAAAAACCCCACCATTAACAAGCTCGCCCTTCTCCCCATCCTTATCCGCCCAGATCTGGGTTTTTCAGAGAACTGAGACTGTTCTAGTTACAGTGAACTGGTGTCCTGCCCCGGAGCTCAGAGGCGCGGACTTGGCGGTCCATTCATTCATGCGTTTGCTCATCCATTCACACAAACACGTCCCTTAATTGTGTCTGGCACCTAGAATCTTGCCTGCTATTTCCTCCTCCCCAAGTCAGTGCTCCAGGCCATGGCTGGTGCATCAACTGTCACCCACTTCCTAAGCTAGAAAATCAAGTCTTATGGGCACATTCTCAATCTCTCAATCTCTCTCTCCTCTCTCCTCTCTCCTCTCTCCTCTCTCCTCTCTTCTCTTCTCTTCTCTTCTCTTCTCTCTCTCTCTCTCTCTCTCTCTCTCTCTCTCTCTCTCTCTCACACACACACACACACACACACACACACACACACACACACACGTGGGGAGGAGAAGGGGGGCAGAAAGGAATGGGGCGCTCACTGGGGTCACATTCGAAGCCTCCATTTGGGGGAAATCGCGGCACGGCCTGGGCGGCAAACGAGGTCAAATCTTTATTAAATCAAAGAACGCTAGCGCGCGGTCCCCAGCGGCGATACATCCAGCGCACAGCCCCTGTTCTCAGGAGTGCGATGCCTCGGGCTCCCCTCACTCGGAGCCGGAGCTGCGGTGCGGGGCCGCGGCTCGCAGCCCAATCCGCAGCGCTCCTGCCTCCGTGCCCAGTAACGTGACGGAGAGGAACCCGAATGCCGCGCCGGGAGGGGCCCCGGGACGCGCGAGTCGTGCCTTCTCCTCGGGAGCCTGGCTGCCTAAGAATCACAAGGTCACCATAACGCCGGGATCGCACTCACCGTACACTCCTTGGCCGGAGATCCCCTCCAGGACGACTGTCAGCAGCCACACGAGACCGTACACCAAATCCATCTTCACGTGAACATGGACATGTCCAGCCCGGGGGGGACGCGGCGGGACCTTCCGGGGGCCGGCGGCCGGGCGGGCGCGCTCCTCTGGCTCCCGGGCTGCGCCGACGTGCCCGCCGCCCGGCCGCCCGAGGCGGCGCCGTCCGTCCGTCCTTCCCCGGCGGCGGCCGGGAGCGCAGCGCGGCAGCCCCGCACGCCCCGCACTCATGCAGGCACACACAAACACACCCCCACAACACCTGGCACACTCACATGCAGCCGCTCCCACGGCGCCTGGGCAGATCGCAGACGCTGGGGGGCCGGGCGGCGGGAAGGGGAGCGGAGGGAAGTGTTCGGGGCGCGGGCGCAGCTCCGCGGCGGCGGCGGCGCGCCGGGCGGCGGGCGGGCGCGGGCCGGGCCGGTGCGGAGCGGCGAGCCGGGCGCGGGCGGCCGAGGAACAGGAAGTGGCTTCTGGCTCGGGGCACGGAGCAGAGGGTTCCTCGCCGGGGTTCGTCTTTACAAAGTAACTCGCGAAGGTTCCCGGAGGAGCGTCAGGCAGCGGCAGCGGCCCGCCCGCCCGCAGTCCGGAGCCCCCAGCCCTGCTGTCTTGCCTTCCCCCATTCCATCAGTTGCCATTGCAACGCCAATCCGCTTACACGACACAGGCTGGCATCGCTGAGCTGGGCGAGGAGGAGGAGGGGGAGGAGGAGGGAGAGGAGGGAGAGGAGGAGGGAGAGGAGGAGTGGGACCGGGGGCAGGGGTGGGGAAGAGAGGGAAGGCGGCGGGAGAGGAAGAGAGGGATGGACAGGAGCAGAGCGCGTCCGGGGCTCTCTCCTGGGCACCGGCCTCAGCCGCCGCCGATCTCCAGAATGGCTCAGTCCCCGCCCGCGACGAGGGGCCTCCGCCGGCAGCGCCGATGCCCGGAGCCGCGAGCAGGGTCCAGCCGCCGCCACTTGCGAGGGAGAAGCAGGACCGGGTCCGCACACTCGTCCCCCCGTGCTCCCCGCGCCGCGCGCCCCCTCCGCGCCGCCAGGTGGAGGGTGGGGCGGCGGGACCCGCGGGAGCTGAGCGGAGGGAGCGGCCGCCGCAGGGCTTCCCCGCCGGGGCTGCCGCGGTGCCGGCGGCCGCGGTGAGCGCGGGGGCGGCGCGGGGAGGACACCCCGCTCCGCGGCCGCTGCGCGGGCCCCGCTGTGGCGCAGGCTCCCGGGCCGGGCTGCGGGCGCCCTGGGCTGGACGCCGGCGGGAACCCGCGGTGGACGCGGTGCTGAGCGCCGGGGAGGCGGAGAGGAGGAGGAGGTGCAGCCTCGAGCCGGCGGCGGCTGCGGTGCGGGAGGCTGTGTGGTCGGTCACGTTGTGCGCTACGTGCCGGGAGCGCGAGCCGCCCGCCGCAGCCGCGACGTCAAAGCCCGGGCGCGCCGCTCGGTGGGGCCCCGCCGCTCCGCTCCCTGCGCCCAGCCTCCGGGTCAGCGGCCCGTCCGCGGGGCAGCGTCCGGGGCTCCGCGGCCGGCGGCGGCCGGCCTCCCGCGGGCCTCCCGCTCTCCGCGGGCCTCGCTGCGGCGGAGCCCGGGCTGGTTTCTGCTGGCGGTGCCCGCGGTGGGCCAGCGGGTGATCGCTGGGTACCCTATCGCTTCCCGCCGCCCCCTATCGCTTCCCGCCGCCCGAGGTCTTCCAGGACCCGCTCTGCTTGACTAGAGAGCAGAACAGGCCACAGCACTAGGTAGCGGCTTGGTTTCTTTCCCATATCAGTCATTTTAAAATGAAAATACGGTCATCACAGCATTGAAGTCTCCAGGGCAGAAAAACTGAGAATGCTGAGCTTAGTTTATTATGCACTGTCTCCTACTAAAGTTAACTGCTTTGAAAATCTTTTCTCTTTTGTGAAAAACCTTCTCATTGGGGCAGGGGAGCTTAAGAAACTCATAGTTACAAAGGGACTAGGAAATGTAACGTATCTTTAATTTTAAAATGAAGTAACGTAGAAATACTTCACCAACAATTAATAGGGATAAACTGGAAATAGAGTAGTGGTTTGTGATTGGTTTCAGTAGCCACAGTAATTTAGTGCTCCTTGTTGAATATATGCTATTCTTTGCTAATTCAGACAGAAATGGATAGAGAGGTGATTAAAATAGCTGAAAACGTGTATTTATACATGTGTTACTAAAGTAGTTGCTATGGAAAATCTGGCTTATAATATTCATTTATCTGCTTCCATATTGACATATGCTGCAGGTCCCTCTCCTCCTCTTACTTTTGCTGGGGGGAGGGGACTCCAAGCGCTAGAAAATGCTTGGAGTTCCCTCTAAGGCTCCTCACTTAGGCTTATTATTGTTATTGGGTATAATCTGGTGCGTACCCTCTGCGTTTACAAGATAAAGGAAGGAAGAATGGTGAGGGTCTCAAAGGACAGGTCGCATGGTGTTGAGAACCCAGCCCCTTCTTTATGAAATGCCACTCTCAAGCAGATGGAATTCCAGGAGCAGTGTCATTCTAGGAGCAAAACCCAAAGTGTGGCTTTCTGAAGGGGAATGATAAAGCTCACTCATTAGCCACTGTGGTGGGAGAGGAGGGGGGAATTGTCATGTTTCTGGAAATCTGTCTTTTAAAAGCAGATCATCCCTGAATACTGCAGCACAGCAGCTTCAAGGGGCAGTAAACTGCAACTTTGCTCTCAGCTCACAGCTCAGAATATATCTTGTCCACGAGGCCCTTATGTCCAGATTTATTTTAGCTGCTTAAGTTCTGCAATAATACTTCACCTACATGAGTGTACTGTGTTTTTTTTTTTGTGGGGGGGGGGGGGTTTGCATTCTTATTTATGAAATTAAGTGTGTGTGTCTTTCAAGGCTCTAAATTAAAATATTTTATTATTTAAAAAGTCAATGTATTACTTTGGCAAAGGAAACCTTTTATTTTCCATGTAATGCACATCTCTGTCTTGGAAAAGAACATACACCCTTGATGTTCTCAGCAGTTCCTGAGTGAGCTATTTAGAGCTGTATAGAACTCAACCCAATCATTTTAAAATTTTTTTCAGTGATAAAACAGCCAGGTGTATCCACTCTGGATCAGACCTTAGCCTAGATATTAGACATTTAAAGACATATATAGGATAGAATCCCTTCTTTTAGTAAACCCACAATCTAGAATATGTTGGTCAATACATGCACCCCTACATATATTGACACTATAATTGCTATATAAATAAAATATCAGGCACAGGGGGCAACGTTTTCATGCAATTGGGTTATATGGCAGTAAGAATAAAAATTGCACTGCTTTTAATATCTATTTTTTTCTTCCTATAAAAATACTGGTAGATTACGTACAGAAACAATTGGCCAGTTTAGTCTCCCAAATGTTTTTGTTTTATTTAGTTTGCCTTGAAATTCAACAATTGTAAGGCTAACCTGACCAAAACCCATTGTATATACAGCCACACCTTAGCACTAGCTATTGAGAGCCTCCAGGTGGTGAGCCTGAGCTAAGGCTTAAGGAGAAGCAGAGAGAGAAGGGAAAGCAGGTCCAAATGCTGTAATGCACTCAGACCCAGGACATTCTGTGTGGTCCAATTAGAGCAGTTCCCACAGGAGCAATGTAAATAGCTGTAAGGATCACCAGCTTCTAGGATTTTGTACAGGGAATATGGATATTGCATAGAATCCAAAGGAACTCTGCATTCCATTTCTATCAGGGTCCACTCAAGAATATTCTGCCTCTGATGAAAGCAGCAATGAACATTTTACACTAGGAATGTTAAAAGTTAGGTGCTCTCCCCTGACAGCCATAATTACCTTAATAATCTGTGATGGTTATATTGACTGTAGTTTCACTTTAGATTTCTATCTGTATATGAGCATGATGTTCCATCCTAGGTATCATGTGAGAGGGCAGGGCAGAGTTATCCTCCATTCTGTGACTGAACCCTAGCCCTCACCCAACCAATCAGGGTTAGCCGAGGCAGTGACATCGCCACCGACCGGAGTAAAACCCCTGGACTGGGCGAAATTTGCTCTCTTCTGCCATGCTGCCGGTGTGAGTGGGACAGAGTCCATGTTAGTATGGAAAAGGCTCTTTTGTTTATTGCATCAGACTCGGCTCCCTGGTGGTCCTTGAAGATCACGAAGTCTGGGTGTAACACATGCAAGAGATAATATCATGGAGGGAATCATGGCTAGCACACGATTCCCCCAAAGTGGCAAGATAGTAACTCTGGAGATAAAATTGAGTAAGCAAAATCAGAATATAGGTGGCAAATCTGTCCTTTCTTTCCAATCTAGCCTCTTACCATAAAGCAATACCAGGTCTTATATTTACTTATGGCTACTGCCTGTTCCCCTTATGGCCCTTTAAATCACACTGACTCCCATACACACTACTGGCTTTCCAGTTTATAAAATCAAACAAGAATGTAAAAATCATCAGTGGTAAACAAGAGATGTCTCAGGAATTGTACACCCTGATGGCTGCCACATACTTCTTTTGCTTGCTCTATTCTTGGTCCTAGATTTCTAGCTCACATCACAGCTTTCTGGGACTACATATGACCCACCCTGAATGCTTAGCTGGCTTCACCTCTGGACCCCTGGCAAACCTCTTTTATCCTGAGAAAAACTCTACTTCTAATATTTCCAAAATCTGTTAATGTAAGCTCCATTATTTTATGGCTCAGACATGCACCTGAGATCCCAAACTATTACTCTCTTAACCTCTGCCCAATGGATCAGATCTCTTTAAAGCTTACCAAGATTATAATAAGGTTTGATTAAACTCTAAATGGAGCCATTCCTGTTAGGTACACAATCTCCTGTCACGGTAAATTTTATCTAGCCAAATACCTGTCACCTAGTTTTATTTTCTACCACTTAGTAATAGCTTCCAGCATGCAAGCTTAGAAATCTAAACAGGATCACAGAGAACTAGCTATTTCAGAGGATAAAGAGACATACCGCTAATTTCCAATCAGAGAAACAGAGCATAGCACAGTGGTCAGCAAACTCATTAGTCAACAGAGCCAAATATCAACAGTACAATGATTGAAATTACTTTTGAGAGCCAAATTTTTTAAACTTAAACTTCTTCTAAAGCCACTTCTTCAAAATAGACTTGCCCAAGCTGTGGAATTTTGTGGAAGAGCCACACTCAAGGGGCCAAAAAGCCACATGTGGCTCGAGAGCCGCAGTCTGCCAATCAAAGCACCAGGGAATTCCAGGTGTTGGTCATTTCTAG